CATTTGCGAGACCCATGGTGTACACCTACGGTGTTTACGAGAGGGAGGGGTGGGGGTTAGTGTTGGATAGTAGAGATGTCAAAGTGTTATACACACTTAAAACTGCAAGCGTCGGATTGCACGTTTTCAAATGGGAGGCTAGCAAACTTAGTCAACTTTTACATGTTAACCTATGGGGCTGAAAATTTTTTTATATTTAAATATAATAAAGTATATGGTTAAATACTACATTAAATCCTAATAACGTTAGCCAAAAAAAACTTTTGAAAAATCTCATTCCAAAGACAAAATATCGTGGATTGAAATATTGGTTTTAGCTATAAAAATCTTAAAAACTCAATATTTCTATCCACGATATTTTGTCTTTGGAATGAGATTTTTCAAAAGTTTTTTTGGCTAACGTTATTAGGATTTAATGTAGTATTTAACAGTATTGTCACTTCAGCTGTTCCCAAATGGTGATCAAAAGAAGTCACGCAAAAGTTTTGTAATGGCCTTATATAATTAAATTAATTTTAAATAAGTTCACTCAAAACTTTTCAGTCTTTCTGTCAGTATATTATTTAAAAATTTAAATGTTAATAATAGTGTAAAATTAAATTTATTATTAACATAATTAACATTTCGAATAAATTCATTATATAAATAATTAATGTTAAAATTTTGTTAATATATACAATCAATGTAAATGTAAAAAATTGATTTACATGCAAATGTAAATCCATTATATAATTAATGGTTTTCATATGCAAAAACTTACCACTTTAGTTTTACTTACATGTAAACAACACTCTAATTCGTGTAATTGTGAAATTTTTATAAATATTGAGATATGGTTATTAAATTTTTCTTGGGTAATCATAAACTGTATGTTCTATTAAAATACTATATACAAATGCAATATTCTCAAATTCCATATTACATTTCTTGGATAGATTGAGTAGTACACATTTTATATTATCATCAAATATAGATATAAATACGTGCGTGATAAAAAAATATACTTAATTTAATTTATAAAATAGCTTTCTATCATTTATATGACCAAAAACAATCATACTGCAGGCATGTAAATTGCAAACTTGCAATTTATTCTTGTTACATTTTTATTAAAGTTATAAATCAATTTTGAACATACTGTATTAATTAAATAAACGGATTATGGGCATAAATCAATTATGGGCAATAAGTGCGTTCAAATTAATAATAAAATGTTTGGTCTTAAATATGTTTTTAATTGATCATATGTGTATATCATTTTCACAATAACACTTATATTTTTTAATTTCAATTATGTGTAATTTTGACCAAGAAAATAAATTTATGAATATGTTTAGTATAGTATCACATAATACTACGTATAAAAATGTATAATAAAATTTAAATAAATAATTTCAAAATAGATTTACTAATTTAAATGTTGACATTACCTTTTATTTATGTATTCATATCATTAAGCCTATATTATTTATATAATAGTATATAATTTAATGTTTATAGTTAATATGTTTAAATGTCAAACCAAAAACAAATATAAAAATAATATAATAAATTTGTAAATGTCAGATTTAATTATTTACGGGTCTTATTAATTTAAATTGTTATAACAAAAATATAAACAATTTTCAAAGACTATGATGGAATGTCAAAGCAAAATCATGGAACAAAATTACCACACACAAATTGTAATTAATTAAATTAGTATTAATCATTTAAATATATTGATAAATATGTGTAAAATTAACAATCTAGAGTAATAATAAGTCAATGGTAATACAGTATTAGCCCTATGTAAAATCAAACATTATATTAACAATGAGTGTAATATTAATTGATACTTTATATTTTGGAGATTATGTTTTGTGAACTTTGTTTTGAAATCCTCTCATAGTTTATAATTTGTAAATTAATAAACAAATATAAATATTTAAATATAATTCTTTTAATGGTTTATATCCTTACATGTCATAATAAGATTTTATAAGCAAATTGTTATAATTGATTCGTTTATAATAAAATTATGAACAAATACTAGGAATTATAAAATTAAAAATTTGAAATCTGTGAGATAATTAATTATTAAAACAAGTGTAATACTGTATTACTAATACAAGATCATATACATTAATTATATAACTTATACACATACATTTTACATTTCAACTATAGTTTGGTGCGATATAAACGGATATGAACAAGGTATATAAGGTGCGCTAATTTTTTTACAGACAGTACTCACCAAATTTCACATTGTTCATTTATATAACAATTTTAGTGAAACACTCAAATAATGTCAAAATTGATTGTGTTGTTAGGATTGGTTGGTCTCTCTATCGGAGCCAACATTGAGCGAAGACATATCGGTTTGGGATTATTTGGAGGTCTCGGCGGTAGTGCCGGCACAGGTCTGTTAAAATTAATCTATAAACATTTAATTTAAACTAAAAGTAAACACTAATAATTAAATTAAAAATATATAAAACTACCAGGAGGTCTGTTTGGTGGGATCGGAAAGGGTTTGGGAGCTATCGGTGGCGGCGCCGGAGACCTGGTTAATAACGAAGTTAAATTTGGCACTAATTTAGTCGGAAGTGAGTTTTTTTAAAATAATAAATTTAATAAATATAAACAATTTTTAACCAACTTGCTAATTTTAGATGTGGTGAACCCAACCGGTGATTTCTTGAACTCGACGGGCGGTGTTGTGAGCAAAGCTGCCGGAGCTATCGGCCGTGCGGCTTCCGGTGCCGCTAATATTGTAGGCCAAACGGCCGGTTCAGTGGCCGGTAGTGTTGGCGATGTGGCCAAAGCCGACATTAAATGGAAAACTGATTTAGCCGGTGGTAAGTTTATTTTTATACTACTTTTTAATTGTAATCATAACAAATACGTTTTAATTATGCAACTAAATTATACACTATTTACTATTTGATTAGTTGTTTAGCACAAAAAATCCTTGAATGTTCTCTGGCCAAACTCTATACATTACAATAAATTATTTAACTAATAAAATGTTATTATTATTATTAATTACAGTTGGTTTGAGTGCTATGACTGATGTATTGAAATCAAAGGGCAATTTCATTAACAATATCGGCTCATCAATTGGTGGTGTATTCAAAGATGGTAATATCCTTAAGGCTGGCAAAGGCATTCTGGGCGCCGTTACAGGTCTGGCCGGCGACGACATCAAGATCATCACCGGCAGCGCTAATGGTATGTAAATTTACCATGGAGATTGAAATTTTAAATGCTAAACATTTTATAATACAGTTTATTCTGTTATAAATTAATTATCGTTTATCTTAATCTGTTTTTAAATAATGATTATTTATATTGGGTTAATAGAGAAAGTCAAGTATTAACATGGTTAATTAATATTCATTCCAGGTGCTTTGGGAGCCACCAGTAATTTGTTGAACAGCGTCGGTGGTGCGATTGGAAATATTTCCCGCTCCGTTGGAAGTGCTGCGCAAAACAGCGCTAATCTCGTGGGCCAAACAGTTAACACAGTTGCCGGCGCTGCCGGTGATTTAGCCGCTGCTGATTTCAAACTCAAAGGCGATTTAATCGGAGGTTAGATCTAGCGCAACAAATAATAACCTAGTTGATTAAACACAAAATAACCCTTATGTTAAATTACTCGTAGGTGTATTGGGCTCAAGCGGTGCCGCATTAAAAGGCAAAGCCGATGCCATCGGTAAGATTGGCGGCGGTGTGGGTGATGTCGTTAGCGGTGGTGTCGGTGCCGGTACCGGACTGGCCGGCGGACTCGGCGGTGCCGTTGGCAGTGGAATAGGCGGTGCCATTGGTAGTGGTATTGGCGGTGCCATCGGAGGTGGTGTTGGCGGAGCAGTTGGTGGTAGTGCTGGCGGATCCATTGGCATTGGCCCTATTGGTGGTGGATTGATCCTTGGTTAAATTGCAAAAAGAATCATCTTAATTAATTATGATAAAATTTACTATTATTATTTTTAAATAAATATGGTTGTATTAATTATTGATATAGTCACTTCTTTTCATTCATATCAAAATTAACCATGTACACATTTTTTTAAATGTGTAACAGAATTATATTATTGTATTTTAAAACTACAAAATAAGATAATTATTCAAAATACTATTATTGACAATTATTTTATATATTTAACAATGAATTCAAATACATATAATCAATATACTGTATTAAAATTTATGCATTATTTACAATAATATTGATTTTTGTTAATTTTTATACTTAAAAATTTGTTTCGTTGTACTAAAATTTATTGCAATAATTATTCAAAAAAGATAATAATAATAAATACCAGAAACATAAAAGTTTTAAGGATCGTTAAATTTGTGGCCCAAAATTGTTATATGTATGATTTTTATTTTTGTCTTAATATCATTTAAATTTAAAATTACAGTTTAAACTTTTGCAAAATTTTCTTGCAAAGTTATCATGATAAATTACTTTACCAAAAATTAAATTTATTTATTTGCACAGATAGTAGAATTAATAATTGATTTAAAAAAATACACATGTGTTTATGTTAAATTATAAATTAATCATAAAAATGGATGTTATATATTTTGTATCATTGTTATTTTTCAATTAAGAACATTTTTATTTTAATAATGTACATTGTTGTACAATAATTTACTTTGTTGTAAACAAACATAAATTTTAATTTAATAAATTTATTATTTAATAATTATAATCTTATTATTAGATGTACTGTATCTTAATTACACTTCAAAAAGTGTAAGAATTTTAAAAATTTAAAAATAGATTACATACAAAGAATTACAAATACATTCAAAGGTTAATAAGATAAATTTTAAGCCATAATTTTATGATTAAATTTTGATTGTCAATTCTATTTTAGTCTTTGCCAAAAGTGATGTTTAAAGGCTTTTAAGGGGGCGAGAATTCATGCTACATTTAATTATATTAATAAAATTGTTGGCAATAATTATCACAAGTTGCCTCATATACAGTATATTATACCTAGTACTTACATAAATAGTTAGATTTATACATTTGTAAAGTTATATTATTATCAAATTAGATTATCATGGTTAAATTAACCTTTTGGATATTATTCTCCCAATTTATGCGCAATGTAACTTTTCTACAATATAAATAGTGTTAATCTTATTCTGCGTTTATTGCATAAACTGGGAGTTAAATCTCCCAGCATAAAACACACTAAAGTGTGGAATATTAATATCCCAGTTTATGCAATAACTGCTAGATAATTCATCCCAGTTTATTTACAACGTTTATAATATAAATTTAAGTTCTAAGGGTTAAAATCTATTAATATATCTTGAGTTCTAATATTAAATGAATAAAATGTACGAGAGTTTAGACCTTGGGCATATGCAAAACTGGGCTTTGTAAAAAAACATTGTTATTTCTCATGAGAATATAACAAAACTAAAGGTTATTTCGATAAAAATCAATTTTCTCTTCAAAAATATGTTTTTTGCAGAAATATGTAAAAAGTTTAATGTTAATGGGTAAAATGCCAAAATTTTATATTAAAAATGTTACTTTTTTAATTTGTAAAATAAATTATAATTGTAAGCATAATTAAAATTGATATAAACGATGTTCAGTAATTATGCTATTCACTATAAAAAAAATTACATAACTGATATTAAATTTCTTAATTTTGATATAACTTTTATCGATTATGTCGGATTTGAGAAATTCCTTCGGATTTAGATTCTACTCATCTATATCTTTCTATTGATATATTATATGATACACCTATTTATAAAATAAAAGATTTATTTTTCAATCTTTTACCGATAAAAGTGGTCACTACGGCCAGACCCGAGGGAGTCTGGACATATGGAGTATATCATTCGACTACCTAATGAGTGTACTTTTATTTTATAACAATAATTCCAAAGTGCCCGCTATCCCACGAATGGGCATACGCCTTCATTAATATATAAATTTTTGTTTTATTATTTCTGAACAAATATATTGAATAATTCCAAGATATCTGTGATATGAATAATAAATCAATAATCAAAATAAAGAGCAATAATGAAAAGCTTTAAAAATATATTTTACACATATTTAGGGCCAACAAAAAACCTTTCGCCAAGACTTCCATCAAATATATTACAATACTTTTTTGCCAATAATTTTAAAATTGATTCAATTATTAAATCCGTTATTAACACGGAAAATATCATAATTATTTTATATAAATTTATATCATGTAATCTGAAATGAATAAATTATAACTAGTTATTATCCTGGATATGACTGAATAAATCATTTATGACGAATAAATTAAAACATTTAAATCTCT